TTTTGGCTAAAACTTTTGGTTTTTATTAGAAGAGTAGGTAATGTGAGGTCATTGTGAAACTATAAATTTTTATCTGGCTTTCACTCATTCAAATTATGTCTTATGAACAAATCTGGTTTATGAAAGGGATGTTTTTGAGAACTTCTTTACACAGCTTCAAAACAAGATGTGGAAATGTTTTCCTTGGCTTGCATGACACTCTTACCCTAATAGCATATATAAAGATACTGGCTTTGGAAAAGAATTTTTAAATATGGTAATTATTTGACTTCTCACCAAACTTGAAGAATCACCACTTAAAAACAAATCGCAGACCTGGAAGACCAGTAGAGGCAAGCCTGAATAAATAGAACTTAATCTGTCCCACATTTCCACATAATTAATATTACTGCTTAGGCTGTTTTAGCTCTCAGTCCACAAGGTAAGCATGATTTAACAACTTAGCACTTCAGACTTTTCATCAAATGAAAAATAAAATGGCAAAAGTCAAGAAATAGAACACAGGATATTAACTTAATTCTCAAACATAATTTTTGCCATTAACTTTAACTTGCTTGTGTAATTTAACTATAAATTATAGGCGCTGCTAAAATCAAGTAAATGACACTTTGCTAAGTTACTGACTTTATCTTTTTTTTACTTTTTAGGTAGGGTTACTGTGTGCAAGCGCTAGTCTTAGTAATAGGGGTCTATTTATTCATGTGTAAAGTAAATGCGGGAGTACGCTGTGGCCTCCTGGGTTCTTTTGAGTTCTAGGACATTGAGAGCTAGTAAAGAACACAAAAATCTATTGGGAAGGAGCACACGCCAACCACTAATGTAACCAACCAGGAACTAAAACACCTCCCTTGCATAAATATAAGGATAAAATTTAAATTTTCCAGGTCTCTTCTTGCAGAAAAATTACTAAATGCTGAATTCCTATGTTCAGTCACTTATACAATGAGACCTGAACATTATGTCAGTCTGTCTTTACTAGTGATCTGCAAATGCTTTTGATTCAACATCACCAACAGTGAAAAGGTTATGCACATGCAAATTTAAATGCATGTTTATTCGTCAACCAGAAATCTATCATGTTCGGGGTGCTCAGTGGGTTGGTTAAGTGTCTGATTCTCAGTTTCTGTTCAGGTCATAGTCTCAGGATCATGAGATCGAGCCCCATGTGGGGCTCTGTGCTGAGCATGGAGCTTGCTTGAGATTCTCTCTCTCCCTCTCCCTCTGTCCCTCCTCCTCACTCATGCTCTCTCTGTTTCTTAATAAAAAAAAAGAAATCTATTATGCTCTTATATATTATATCATGAACACTATGACATATAAAAAAGAAAAAGTAAAGAATGAGGCTTAACAATACATGAAAACAGAAGTCATCCTGTTTGCCTCCCACTGCAGAAAGTATAGCAGGCATGGATTTTCTTGCTTATACCCTGAAAATGAGCACTCTGTTTCAGAGTTCTGGTCTAAAACATCACATCTTTACTTGTTGCTCTTGAAATGCTTCTAATAATTACACCAAGATTACAACTTGTATCCTAAACATTTATATATCACTTTCCAAAATTTACTTAGTTTCCCTTAATAGCATCAGTTTGAGGAATATGTTGATTGGTCTTCAAAGGAATTCAATAAAACAATGTGAATGAGCCTTCATCCTACTCAAAGCAGGGCTGGCAGGTGTGAGAAGGGCATCAGATGATGAGTGTGCATTACAGGAGGTATATCTTTGTGTTCTTTTGAGATTTATAGCCTAATCGGCGAGATGTTCAAGTTGGAGAAATACATCCTTTTTTTCCTTGGCAAAAATACCAAAATTATGTGACAATAGTATCTGTAGTGACATGGAACTTCAAAAGGGAAGGTTCTACAAAGTAAACACTGGTATTTCCCAGATAGGATACTTGCCTTTGCTCAATAGCTGACTTTTGCTTCACGGCCACAAAGTACCCAGAAGCAAAAGCTATTTATGTGTACTCACTCTACTGAATTAAGTGAGGCAATTCTTTTCCCAGATCCTTAAAAAAAAACTCGAGATCTTTGTTTTTTCCAAAGAACCTTGCAAAGAGTACACATTTCCTACCAGCCTTTGCCATATCTGCCTTATACACATGCTCCTTCCAAAACCACTCTCTGGTCACAAGGACCTGGCATGTAAGAACACTTCTCTAATGTATCTTCCTCAACATTTGTCACTTTAATCCAATCTCATTCCTTTGCTAATTTTTTGCAGGGCATATTTCTGGTGCTTTTGATTATTACTTCCTCTGCAAAATAAAAATAAAATCACAGTAATGGATTTAGTGAGGGGGTCAATACAATACAAACCTAGTACTAATAAAGATGTTTGTTAGATGATACTTAATATCACACACATATCATTTTGTGACCATGTTCCCCGACAGTGCTGTGCCATGACTCTGAATTTGGGATCCCCACTCATACAAACAAGATATTCTCACATGATCTAGCCAGTTTCAAAATGCTGATCTCTCAAGGTTAGTTTTTTTTTTTTTTTTTAAAAAAAAAAAAAGGTGGAATGCCTGAGTGGCTCAATCGGTTGAGCCTCCAACCCTTGATTTTGGCTCAGGTCATGATCTGAGGGTTATGAGGGGTTGTGAGGTCAAGCTGCTTATTGGTCTCCCTGTCTCAGGAGTCTACTTGAGATTTTCTCTCTCTCCCTCTGCTCCTCCCCCTGCTTGTGTGTGCACTCACACTCTCTAAATCTTTTAAAAAAAGGTATTTTTTCCCATCTTCTACAAAACCACAAAGTAAAAATATTTGTTCTTTTTTTCTAAGCCATTTTATACTGTGGTCACAAATACAACACTATTTTAGGATTCCACCCATTTTTTTTTAATCTATAACCTTTTTTTTTTTTTTTAAACCAGCCCAGGACACATACTGGACTGATAGGGTCTGTAAATTTCTTAAAATAACACATGCACTGTATTATAGTACTGAAAACTATTAGGAGTAGAACTTAAATTCTCTTACTACTCCCTCAAGAGATAAATATGTGCAAGGATGCACATGTTAATGTGTTAATTAACTAGATGGTGGGAATCCCTTTATAATGTATACATATATCAAATCACCATGGTGTGCACTTTTAATATCTTATAATTTTATTTTCAATTATATCTCAAGAAAGCTGAAAAATAAATGAATAAAATGTCACTTTACTATAAAAAATTAAAACAACACATGCAGTGCAAGGCTGTTGGCCTTAGACTACTCATTAAATACCTCTATATTCCACAGCTGTTGTAAGACTTTATTCATGATATTTATAAAGTGGTGCAAGAGGCCAAGGTTAACATATCCCAGGTCTGAATCTTGTTATCATCTCATTGTGTCTTACTTTCTCTTACATTAATGCACTTGCCACTTCTACTTAAGTCAACCATACACCTTCTATGAGAGGTAGAAAAATAGATGTTTTAGGGCAGAAGTTAAAAAGAGCTAGAAATACATGATATTCTTCTCGCTACATTTTGCTAATTAGAAAACTAAAGGATTTCCAGCAAAGTGATGCATTCTCCCCTTCTGGGGCCTCCATCAGTACAGAGATGTGTGCACAGTATTTTTGACCAAAAGCAAAGCTTCCTTCATGGAAACATTTCCATCTTCAATGGGAATTTGGGCTTTGCCAGATTAAACAATAATTAACAAGTCAATAGAAACAGATAAACTCTCAGCCTTCTCTGAGATTTTATAGAACTGTGCAAAATATTTTTTCTCTGTAAACATTTAAGAAGTTTGAGACAAGAAAGATCAGTGAACAGCCAGAAACTATAAAACTCTCCTAAAATTAAATTAGGCTGGTGAGTTTATCCTGCAAAATTTAAAAGCACATTCTTACTGTGGTGTTTAGCATGTTTTTCTAATACTTGAAATTGGATTTTCTAAAAAAGAATGAATGGTCAAAACAATCCATGACAGAACACCACTGTGCTTACTTTTACCACCATTATTATAATTCATTTAAAATTGGAATTAGAACAATAATGATAATTGGATAATATAAATGATAAGGAGAGAGTTAAAGTAATAGGAAGTTAAGACCTAAGTGATACAACAATAAAGCAAACAGCAATTGCAATGGCACGCAGAAAAGGAAATAACAAAAAACACAAATAAAAAGTGTGGACATTGGTTAACAAAAACAATACTGTCCTGAGAATTGAAAATTAAATGAGGTAAATATCTTAGAGAAAAGGTTTTAAGTAGGTTAGAACATCTTCTGAAGTTGGCAGGTGTTTTTTAAAACTGAGACATGAAAAGGCCTAAGTAAAAAGAGCAAAGATAAATTAAACTCGAATTTGTCTAACACTAAAAGAAAAAAAAAAAAGAGGCAGATTGTCTGGTTTCTGAAATTAGGGTGGGAATATAAGATTCTGAACAAATAGCTTACATTTCTTTCCTAGAATGAAAATAAATGTTCAACTGCACCCTTCTGCTTATCTCCACTGTAACAGAACGACTTTTGTCTCTCTGTCACTGTGACAGATCAAATGGTCTTCCCAAATCCTAATCCTGAGAACCTGAGAACATCCGAAGATGTAATTAGTTAATTTGAACTCATCCTGGAGTAGAGTGGGCTTTTCGTCCAGTATGACCAGTGTCCATATGAGAAGAGGGATATCTGGACACAGCAACAGAGACACGGAGAGAATGAATGCCATGTGACATTGCAAAAGCAGAGACAGGAGTAACGGAGGAGGACGGCCAAGGTCAGATGGCCTCCTCTAGAAGCCCGAAGAGACAAGGAGGGATTCCACCTAGGGTCCCAGAGAGACCACTGTTCCTACTGTCACTTTGATGTTGAAATTCTGTGAGGCGATGAATTTCTTTTGTTTAAAGCCACCCAATTTCAGCACTTTGTTGGCTACAGCAGGCCTGGGAAATGAAGACAGACACTATGTTGTGCTGCAAACCCAAGCGAAAAGTCTAATTGAAGGACCTGGGTTAGGTGAGTAGTGTTGGTGCCAGGAAAAACTTACCTGCAACGTAGTCACCAAATCCAATGGTTGTTAAAGTGATGACCACAAAATAAATGGCATCCAGGGCGCTCCAGCCTTCTATGTGCTTGAATATGATCGCGGGCAGAGCAACAAAAAGTACACAGCCAAACAGTATAAATATGATTGTTGAGATGATGCGAATCTTGGTCTGACTAACATTCCACTTCTACGGATGAGAATGAAGAAAGCAAGGGAGAGAAACTGATTGAGATTTATTGATTACTGGCATACCTGCAAAGCTAACCTAATATACTTTTCAGCAAATTAGCAAAATAAGCATGTTATTTTATTTCTTTTTATAATTCATTTTCAAATGGCTTATAAAAATTGGGTATAACACAAATAACTCAAAACAATAAAATGCTAATGATGATGCTACTTTACCCTTACATACCTTTACACCAGGTAAAATACTTTCAAAATTAATTACATTTGCTCTGAGAATACAGTTTCAGATGTACATCATTCTTCGTTTACTTGAATTACTTCTGAAATATTTCTATTCTATAGGTATACTACTGATTGTGGGCCAAACACAATCTAGAAATATATGAAAATAAACAAAACTGAATGATGGGCTAAATATTTAGTCTTGAGAATTGATAAATTTTTATGAAAAATTTCTCCCACTCCTGTTGATTTCCTATCATTCATTATTCAACCGATTAAACTGAAACACCTACAGACTTAAAGTCCACAGTTGATTCCCCAGATGAATTGTGTCTGTGTTCCATGGCCTTAAATTGTACAACTAGATAAATCAAACATGACATAGGGCAAGGAAAAATCTTCAACACCCCTATCCTACAACTGTCTTTTCACCTTCTTCTCTTATCAAGAATCTCCACTGTATCACATACTAGGTTTGTACATACAGTAGTTTATCTCCAGATCTTCGTTTGAAGCTAATCACTATATATTTTTCATCTGTAACTGGATCTGTCGTATCTGCTATTAAAATTATAGGTCACATTCCCACCATATAAAAACCACTGAGTTTTAGAACTTGAAAATTTCCTAGAGATAAAGATCTATGAAATCATAGGGTGGAAAGTGAAAAAAAAAAAGTTTCTCTAGTCCACCATCCTTAAAGCACAAGTGAAGGTTAAGTGAATTCATGTTTGTAAAGTTCTCACAGCAGTGTTTATAGTACTAAGCCCGGAATCATAACCACTGGAATGTATTCACCACTAGGGCACAGGATGCATTTTATGCACTGATGTAATTACAGCATCAAAAACATTATCAGGCTCCAGTAGGCACCCCCAAATTTGTGTCAAAATAAAATGAATAAACAAAAACAAAAAGCAGAATCAGAACTGTAAATACATAGAACAAACTGATGGTTGCCTGAGGGGTAGGGGAAGGGCAACTGGGCAAAATGGGTGAAGGGGAGAAGGAGATACAGGCTTCCACTTACGGAATGAGTAAATCAAGGGAATGAAAGGCACAATGTAAGAAAAATAGTGATATTGTAATAGCAATGCAATGGGGCGAATGGTAACTACACTTGTGGTGAGCATAGCATTATGCATAAACTTGTTAAATCACTAAGTCGTACACCTGCAACTAACATAACGTTATGTGTCAATGATACTCAAATTAAAAAAAATTTAAGCAAAAAAAGTTAATAATGATACCACTAATCTTCCCGGTCAATTAATATAAATAGGAGATAACTTTTATATCACTATAAGAAAAGTATAATACCCAAAACAGGATGAAACTCCTATTTTAGAATAATCATACCTACTCCGTTCCAACTGTAGAAATACCTGCGTGTGAACTTGGAACTTAAAAATAAAACATAACTAAAAATCAATCAATCAATCATAACTAATGCCAAAAACTGGAACTATGAATTGAAAAACCAATACTCAGTGGTCTCATTTCTTCAATAGAATTAAATATAAAATACTTTGTTGAAATGTTTGTGAAAAGATGAAAAGATCTTTGAAGAGTCAATAAAATGTATTTGTAATGCTGAGGTGGTAGTAACATGTCCTTTATAATCCCACCCTCTCATGCAACTTTTTTCTTCAAGACTAGAAGCTTGTAATCATAGTGGTATTATTACTATTTTTCATTTACCATTCTAATAAAAGCATTTTCATTTCACTTATTTTTTTTCTATTGAGTATTATATAGCCATGAAAATCTTCTTGTAGATTATTACTTTTGGTTGTACTGAATTACATCCCTTAGAAATGTTTCTGTTAATGATATCACTGAATTAAATTATATGATCACCTTTATTATGTTTGCTGAATAGGGTGTCCTTCACAAAGGGGCTATATAAGTTTAGAATGCCACTAGCAATGAACAAAGGTACCAAAGCAAATTTTAAATTAGAAAACATTGTCATTTACTAGCTGTTAAGCTTTAATTAATTTATATTTATTTATTTATTTGAGAGAGAAAGAGGGAGACAGAGAGCATGTACATAAATGGGGTAAGTTGGGGTGGGGAGGCAGAAGGGGAGGGAGAGGAAGAGGGAATCTTAAGCAGATACTGTCCTAAGCGTGGGGGAGCCCATCTCAGGGTTCCATCTCACAACACTGAGATCATGACCTGAGGTGAAACCAAGAGTCTGACAGTTAACTGACTGAGCCATTCAAGCGCCCCAAGCTTTTATTCATTATCTCTAACTCTCAAAGTGATGTCTCCATCGCCAGTACCATTATTCACATTACACAAATAACAAAATGGAGATTTCAGGGTAAAATAACTAGGTTAAGAGAATACAGCAAGACAAGACATCTGGAATTGGAACCAAGGATTGTCAGATTTCTATTTCATTTCTGCATATTTGGGGATTTTTCCCATGCACTAATTCACTCATTCAAATTAAGTATAAAAATAAAGTGAGTTTCATGCTAAGAGAGGTACACATAAAAGGTTACGGAAAACCCAATAACTTGATTGTCTAACATATCTGAGGTGACAGAAAAGTTTAATTGAAAAAAATTAAACAACATATGTAGTTAAAAGGCTATTATACTTACAATAAACGTATCTTCCACTTTTGCAATTCCTTTTCCAAATATGGTCCCTAGTTGATCACCAACTCCAGCCAACAAAAAACCAAAGAGGGGAATTCCCAGTAAGGCATAGATGATACAGAATATTTTTCCCCCTTCTGTGCGTGGTGAAATATTTCCAAATCCTAAATACAAAAAAAAATTGTTTTCAGTTGTTTATAAATGAGTAATAGTTTAAAACATATGATCTTGTTAAAAAGAAAACAAGACAACTGAAAAAGGACTTGGGCTATATCCATTTTGACCTCAAACTTTCTGGTTGGTTTCTTCTTTCCAGTCTGGGGCTTGGCACAAGTGGAAGACAGAAACTACCCCCTCAAGCCATAAAGTCTGCCCTGAGCCAGCAAGACTCTGCCCATAACTGACTCCAAAACAAGGATGGATTTAACCTTCACTACCTTCCTGCATACACCCACCTACCTTTGTCCCACATTTCCCATGTAAACCTGTAAGTATTAGTGGTGTTTTGGAGACAGTCTTTGAGAAGGCTAGTCCTCTGTCTTCCTGGTGTTGACCTCACTGAAATAAATTCCTTTCTGGTTTCACCACCACTCATCTCCCTGCCTTTGGATTTTGTCAGCAGTGAGCGCCTGATCCTGGTCTGTTTGGGACCCCTGGAGCCAGATGCTCTTGCACCCCCGTGCCCCAGCTACAAAACATAGACCCAAAATGGCACCACTTAGGCTAAATCTCTAAAGTGGGGATTAATAGCTCATCTAGTTGCAGTTTCAACTTCACCCATAAATGCAGTCTTAGTCTTAACCTTAACCAGTCGGTTAGGAATTATCCTATCAGAGCCACATTGGCCTTCTCCATCACCCTCTCCCCCAAAGGAAGATGAGATGATCTGCTTCGTAAGACCCCCTGTTCTTTCCTCTCAGGGAAAGCTACCTTGCCTGGGAAACCCTTTTCTTAGATTAATAACTTTCTTGCCCCACCCTTATTCTTTAAAAATGTTGCTTGCTGTATGATTCCTCGGAGCTCCCCTCTGCTCGCTAGATGGCATACTGCCTAATTGATGAATCATTTAATAAAACCAACTAGATCTTCACATTTACTCAGTTAACTTGTTTTTTAACAACCTCAAGAGTAATTCAAAAATTCCCCAATATCAAAAGATATTACTCATAGGTTTCAACTAGTTAAGAATCCCTTTTAAATATATTTTAATATAAAATAAGCAATAAGCAAATAAGCAAGTATTTCAACAATCTACAAAGTATAGCTAATGTTCCAATTAAAATAGATGATGAAAACCAGGGGGTAACACATGCAATAAAGCCAATATTTTCATTAAATTTCTTTCTGTATCTCTATACTGATAATACTGTTAACTATAGAGCTTTCATTGTCATTTATTTTTTTTCTTTTTTTTTCTTTTTTTTTTTCTTCATTGTCATTTATTGAGAAGGAGCATTGACAAAATAGCATGGATAGAGGAAGGCAACTTTTCACATATGGCGTCTACACATTTAACTCATTTACCTCCCATCTGTTCTTATCTACTAATGCCTTGGAGTGCTGAACACCAGAGCAATATGTGCAAAGGATCCATCCAGGGCAAGTGTGAAAAGGGCCCCAGAAATCTTGTACCAAGGTAATTTTAAGGGAAAAATTTTAAGCTGAACTATCTGGGACAGTGTATCATTTCTGAATGCTATCCAGGAATGGAACTCGGGAGCGGCTCCAGGGAGGGGGCTGCGGGGCGGGAGCGCGAATCCCACAGCGCAGGCCCCGGAGCACAGGGCACCGGGACACAGCCCAGGATCCGGCCTCCCCCGGGACAGGCAGAGGCCGGGAGGGCCCAGGACAGCAAGGACGCTCCTGCCCCGAGCTGAGCAGATCAGCGGCCCCGCCCCGAAGCCTCCAGGCCCTGCAGACGGAGAGCCCCGTAGTTCCTGCGGAGGCTGAATCCAGGCTTCCAGAGTTGCCATAGCAACTGCTGCTGTTCCTCCTGGGGCCCCACGGGGTAAACAACCCCCGCTGAGCCCGGCAGCAGGCAGGGGCAGAGCAGCTGACACCTGAAAATCAGCACAGCAGGCCCCTCCCCCAGAAGACCAGCTAGAGGGACCAGTGATACTCCCCCGTGTTCCAATACAACTTGTTTTTGGCCACTCTGCACTGAGCAAAATGACTAGAAGGAAAACCTCACTTCAAAAGAAAGAATCAGAAACAGCCCTCTAGATCCATTTACCATTCAAATGGTTCTCAAAATATACCCTAAAAACTACAGAACACTTCTGAAAGAAATTGAGGAAGACACAAAGAGATGGAAAAATATTCCATGCTCATGGATTGGCAGAATTAATATTGTGAAAATGTCAATGTTACCCAGGGCAATTTACACGTATAATGCAACCCCTATCAAAATACCATGGACTTTCTTCAGAGACTTAGAACAAATTATTTTAAGATTTGTGTGGAATCAGAAAAGACCCCAAACAGCCAGGGGAATTTTAAAAAAAGAAAACCATATCTGGGGGCATCACAATGCCAGATTTCAGGTTGTACTACAAAGCTGTGTTCATCAAGACAGTGTGGTACTGGCACAAAAACAGACATATAGATCAATGGAACAGAACAGAGAACCCAGAAGTGGACCCTGAACTTTATGCTCAACTAATATACGATAAAGGAGGAAAGACGATCCACTAGAAGAAAGACAGTCTCTTCAATAAATGGTGAAGAATCTAAACCCTGTCCTCTATTCTAACATCAATTAGTAGAGTAGTAAAAACAAGAAAGGTTTGCTAAATCAGCAGGGTAGGCTGTTTTGACATGGGTTCTTTGACCATTCCAGAGAGTCTTGCTAAGATCCAACCCTGTTCTTTGTTGCTTCTCCAGATGAATAACTACATGGTCTGAGATAGGGCCAACATCTGAGTTATCCTATTCCATCCCGTTTTCTCTTTTCGATTAAGAGGACAAATGTCTTCAGAGTCATATCTATAAGAAGTAACCTACCTCTAGGAAGGGCCAGAAGTGAAAAATAAAGGATACTGTCAGTGAGCCCTCTTGCTCAGCTGTAGACTCCAACAGTTAAAACCAGAAATAGACAAGATTGCTTAAATCATGATTTAACTAAAATACATTGTGCTTATTTCTTACTACCATTTTTAAACATTCCAACCACCAGACCAGAAAAGCACTGATAGCAATGAAATGCCTAAAGACTTCACCCCACAGGTCCCCTTTCCCTGTCCATGACCATAGGTTGAACATCTACTGACCTTCACCCATGATCATTCATCTCTGCCTGGTCTCCCAAATGTAATCCCCTACCCCTAATCATTCCTTATAAAACTCTAGGTGTCCATCTTACTGGTGGAGAAGTCAGTTGTTAAGACTTGAACCTGCCATTCCTCTGGTTGACGGCACCTGAAATAAATTTCTGCCTTTCTTTTTTCCAACCCCCCAATAACTCTTGAGTTATTGGCTTTTCTTGTCGTGAGTTTGTCTGAGTTTTTTGAGCAACAGTGTTAATAAAACAAGCCAGGAGCTATGCTTCTGATTTGTCCAGGCCCCTTGGTTCTATGGGACAGAGCAGTTGGCCGGGGCGGCATGCCAGAGCTCACCCATTTGTTTCCTGATTTAGCAGCTGTGATAGATTGATTGGTAATAATACAACTTAAAAAAAAAATTCTGATTGTGGCATTGGTATAAATAGGCTCTATTGTTTCAAAAATAAAATTCTAGCTGTCAGAGAGCTCAATTTGATCTGCTCCACTTAAGTTAAAGGGGCGTAAGAAACAAAGGCTCCAAGTTTTCATCCATCATTGATTGACTCAGAATCAGCCTGGAGGCCACTGGAACATCTTCAGAAAAGCTGACAGAGGATTTCTCAGAAAGCCTGTTTACATCACCAGTGCAATGACCCAAAATTCAAGGAGACTTCAGGATATAAGGAAAGCCAATCTACCTTTCATTGATCAAAAAAATGGAGACCGGTTCCTTGTGGCATCTCTGTACTTCATTTTTACTACCTCCACGTCAAAGTTAGCATACGAGAGACTGAGGGAGTAGGGATGAAGCATCATGATATGAATCTTCTCTGCATGTCTTCTGTTTTGCCTTCCAAGTGTGTCTTTCATTACCATCATACTGAGCTTTATGATGAATCTGTGCCTGCTAGGTGACATTCTTTACACACTGACCACTTCGCATGGACATACAGATACAGAGACCCAGCAGTTTTCTGACATAAAGGGAATGCCTATAACTCCCCAAACATTTCCCTGGGTGAAAGAATGAAATGGCTCTTCAGAGGATGGTTCCTTGTGCTTTCTTCCCTCTCTTCCCTATGTAAAATAAGACCAGACTTCCCTCCACAGATTTACTACACATTCTAACCAATCAAAGGGCACTGGTTAAATGACTTGATACTATCAATGGATTTATCAAAGGTATCCATGATTCTAAGCAGTATGCTAAACTTTTAGAATATTAATCCTTGTGACTGTCTGGATTTCCTGACTCTCCCTGATGCGTTAGCAGTATCTTCATTGCCTCAGGGTGAAATGGATTGTTACAGCAAGAAGAAAAGGTTAAAGAAACAGTATTAAGTTTTGTTTTCTTTTAACTCCTAAATTAAGGTATATGCAAGAAAATGTATCCCCTGAGGACAGCAGAGTTCAGTTTATAGCATAAAATATGCAAAATTAGAGAGGAAAAGGAGTGGCTTCCAAAGAGCTTGGGGGAATAGACAAGACTGACCAGGGATGAGACATGACTTTGGAGGAGGTGGCATTAGGCAGAAACCAGAGGATAGGATAGTTAGAGCTTGGGGGAATAGACAAGACTGACCAGGGATGAGACATGACTTTGGAGGAGGTGGCATTAGGCAGAAACCAGAGGATAGGATAGTTAGGGGTTGAGGAGGCAGGTTCCAATAGTATATACTAGGGCTCAACCTTGAGAGATAAACTATTAAATCTTCAGGAGTTTTACAAGTCAGCTGACTTCACATTGGTAGTGTGGAATCAGCTCTAGTAGGAATATTTATACCACAGAAATTGGCAAGCACTATAATTTACAGTTCCCCTCCCATTACCTAATATTTACCAATATACTACAGAATAAAATACAGTGCAATTTAAGAGACTGTATGTAGTCTATGCCAGAGACC